TACATACATACATACATACATACATACATACATACATACATACATACATACATACATACATACAGCAAATCCTCGTTATAGAAAACATGGCTTTGTAAGAAGCCAACCATATTTGTCGAAATATGATGAAGAACCATATTTATCTTGAGACAATGAAGCTTTCTTGACCTCAAGGCAAATTCGTAGATGGAGATTCTCGTTCAATTCTCTTTGCTTAAAAGCGTCATATTTTGTATTTGAAAAGATGAATGCATGTTAATTTATGCATCGTTTGATAGCTTTTTCAGATGTTGTTGCAAGGGTGTAACATAAATTTGCGATACGTAAAATCTCAAAATGTTGAAGAAAACATACTACAAACGACTGTTGAAATGACGATAAATGCTGATGTTAAGGTGAAATGAGCCTTGACTTTCTCATGTAGATAGCTATAAATAAGAAATTTTTAGAATAGACACATCGTAGAGCATATTCAGTGGAAGGACTGGCCTGACAGAGGTGTACCACCAACGAATCTCTCATCCTTTCGACTCCTCATGCGTGTGAGGAATCTAACCCCGATTGTTGTGCATTGCTCCGCTGGCATTGGACGAACTGGCACTATCGTTGGCTTAGATCTAATTTACTCAAAACTAGAAAAAGGATCTATTGTAAGCTTAATTAGCAGAAGTGAATTTTGCTTTTGACGTTAACTTCTCTTATAGGTAACATTGGAAAATATTGTGCGAGGCCTTCGAAAAGATCGGCATGGCTCTGTGCAAACAGATGCGCAATACCTATACATGCACCGAATCCTCATTGCCGTGGCAGAAAATAAAAGGGCAAGCTGTCTTTGTAGAAACAAAGAAAATATTGTTCATGCACTCAGGTCTTTTCAGGTGGTTTCTGCTGCGGATATTCAGAAGTTTGTAACCGACTACGACACGTATTGTAAGGCAAAAGGATACTGCAAATAAGAATGCCAAATCATCTCACGTAGCAATTATACGATATTTCACTTCTGATATTACAAAATGTCCAGAGTAAAATTTACTCTGTTGTTACACCGTGGTTATCTAAATGATA